ACCCGACGATGTATGACCACCAGACGATGTATGACCCCCAGACGATGTATGACCACCCGACAATGTATGACCACCCGACGATGTATGACCACCAGACGATGTATGACCACCAGACGATGTATGACCACCCGACAATGTATGACCACCCGACGATGTATGACCACCAGACGATGTATGACCACCCGACGATGTATGACCACCCGACGATGTATGACCACCAGACGATGTATGACCACCCGACAATGTATGACCACCCGACGATGTATTGACTTTCTACTTTAGTATTTTAGAAAGTCTTATATTATCAATTTTAACCTATATAATTCTATTGAATTATATGAATATTTCGTATTATTTTCAAATGCAGTTTATACATTTTTTTTCTTATTTGTTACGTCATCTTTATGACGCTCTCTACATATTTTGTCATAAACAAGTTTATCAGATACACCGGCATCGTTTGACGCGTTCCATTCAGGATGTGATGGCGAAACACGTTTATTTAACACTCACGATAAATAAATCCTGAACGTTTACATAAAGAAATTTATTCGATTTTCGTCAAGATAAACTAAATGAAGAATATTTATCTGTATTTCAACATATTTATATTTCTTTATTTTCAAAGATTTATTGCGTTTTCGATAAAGAGCGATTCAAATTGTCCACATTTTACTTTCGTTAAAGGTAGAAACTGATAAGCTGATACAACGACAAAGAACGATAACTCAGTTCATATATTTTTTTATCGTGTATGTCGTAATTCATATAATTACCACGAGGGTGTTTTTCTTATAGTAAAGCCACATTGTGCCATCTGCTGTGTTCTCCGAGGGGAATCGAACCGCTGATTTTAGCGTTGTAAATCCGTGGATTTTTCGCTGTCCCAGCGGGGGGGACTAATTTTCACGACCTCCTGAATACAAAAGTAACAAAAACGTAAATTACAAATAACACTACACTTGGAAAATACAAAATTACCATTGACTTTTAGTCTCCCACCCCCAACAGTGGCTCAGCGCTAAGTCTGACGACTTATAACGCTAAAAACCGGGTTTCGATACTTGTGGTGGACACAGCACAGATGGCTCACCGTGTAGCTTTGCACTTAACAACAAACACATAAAGAATTTCAGCCGAGACTTGTAATCAAATTGAAGGAAATTATTAAAAGTCCCCCCCCAAAAAAAAATTCTAGCCTTACTGATGAAATAAGAAAATAAATATCTCGCATGTAGTTCAAATGTTAATTGATGTAATCTCACACAAAACACCGATCACTAGATCACGCTTCGCTAGCATAAGGCGTATAAACCATGCCATTATAAATGACTGATATAAACAGCATTTCGACCGTGGCTTTGTGTGCTGCATTCCCAGCCGAAATAGACGAGCTCTATTATTGAGCGAAAAGTTGAGATGATATTATCTTTCTTCCTTTTTTGAAGTACAGGACCTGTAAAGAAAAATTTTTAAATAAAAATGTTATCAGTTACCTTGTGATTAGTGGATCACGTTTCGCCAGCATAAACACGATAATTATTAATTGTAAGTAATTAAAGTTTCTGATCGCAAACACTTTATGAAGGTCATTTGAGAGACTCCTCTATTTTATTTTATTGTTTGTCGTTCGCCGATGGAACAGAGTTAATTCTACGGACTTCCAACGCTAAATTTTGTGGTTCGATTCTCTCGCGGTGGACGCAGCACAAAGCTACATAATGGACTAACTGCACTCTGTCTACAACGGGGAATCAAAACCCAAATATCTTAGCGTTGTATTTTCGTAAACTTACCGCTGACCCACCTGGGGGGGGGGGGGGTATTTTTATTATTGTTATTTGAAAAAGGGGTGGATTAATGAAGGAATGAAGATACTTGGTTTATTTAATCACACAAAGATTTATCATCTGGGCTCCCCAGTAGCACAGCGGTATGTCTGCGGACTTACAACGCTAGAAACCGGGTTTCGATACCCGTAGTGGGCAGAGCACAGATAGCCCTTTGTGCTTAGCTACAA